AGGGGGCTGGCCAGCCGCGGGAGCCAGGCAAGGAGGGAGCTGTGGGTCTCTGGTGTGCGGCTTGCAAATCTGTTTCCCTCACCTCTCCCAAGTAGCACAGGACCCACAACTCTTCAACCTATGGCAGATATCATGCTGGGCAGTGGATAAAGGTTTAGATTTGGGGCATTTTCTCAATTTAGAGCTCTTGGGCCTCACAACCCAGCCAATACTGGTTGCTCTTACTCAGAAACAAAGCTCTGATCTTGAAGAGGGTGCGGTGCCTCTGAAGGGCAGCAGTGTCTGATTCTGCCGAGCACATGTCACCAGGCTTGCTGTAGGGGTAAGTCAATAGTTATTGCTTTGTGGAGTGCTGGCTGATCCCTCGAAAGCCCTCTAGTGCATGGCCCATGTTCTCTGGGGCCACATGAGCAAGGGCTGGTTCCACAGATGTAAAGATGAGCTTGGAAAGAAGTGTGCGTGAATTGTGGCTTTTTTTTTTTTTTTTTTTTTTTTTTAAGTGCATGGTAAACACTCTGGTGCTGGCTAAAGAAGCCTCGCTGTGAATTTTGGAGGATAATCCCCACTCTTGTATTCTCCATAATTTCATACATTATTATTTAGTTAAATTAGGCTTCCCCACTTGCTGCCCATGGCTCCAAAGGAGGATGTGGATGCACAGGACAACGCTTGTTTGTGTCCCAGGGCCTACTGTGCGGCTGCTGTCTAACGCATGCAGGCCCAAATAAGATGCTCAAATCCTCATGTGACTTAGCAGGTAACCTGGTATAGATAAAAGCAGGGAGTGGATTGTATTCCACTGGCTACTTGGGGTCTTGTAGTCATACCCTGAAGATAGGCACTGTATTGTTTTATCCCTTGAATTTTTAAAGCATCTCTGTTTTATGATCTCTATAATTTTGGAGAGAAACCAAGGCAGCTAGTGACTTTCTTGAACAAAATTTCTTTGCCTACGTGCCAGTCTGGCAGCACATAGTAGTATCTGGCCTATGAATGACTTCTGGCTTGCACCCCACAGCAGGAAAGCAGCACGAGCAAAGACCACGGGGTAGGGGCTGGTGTAGCCATCAGGTCAGTTGCTCCTTGAATGGTCGGAGCTGTTGTGGAGTGGCTCATGAGCAGGGGGCCTGAGACACAGGAATGGAACAGGAAAGGGGGGAGAATAAAAAGGGAGTTGGAGGGAGGTTGCGGGGGCTCGGGCCCTCTGAGAGATGATGCTTCGCTGAGATGTCATGGTCTCACTATTCCTGCCAGAGAACACCTGACTTCCTTGATGGTTCCCAGCCAGCTGTCTCTAGTCTTGGTCATCTAACTCCAAAGGTCTGCAAGCAAGGGTTTGGAGGGTGTGATTCTGGGCAGCAAGGGGCTGTGTCCCTATGAGTTCTGACTGTACTTGGAGTGGAACCCGGGGTCCTGGGTGGGGAGGCTGTCGAGGACTTCTGTGGCAGTGCTGCAATCTTATTTGTTACCTGCCTGGCCTCCTGGCTGGTGGTGGAGGTGAGTGGCATTCCGGGGGTGCTGGGTGCAGGGGCGAATGTGAGGTAGATTGGTGGATGCATAGGAAGGATCTCGGAGTGGTAGTGTCAACTCTCCTGGAGGCTTGCTTCTGAAAAGGAGGGTTGAAGAGTGGGAGAGAGAGAGTTGTGGGATTTGCTAGTGAAGATGGTTCGGTGTCTCTAATAATGGAATGAAACACGTCATGATAAATGAATCAACTATACTTTTTAAGCCCCTTGTAGAAAAATATATCCAGAATGAATCTGTTTCACATCTGAGTTCTGAAATCTTTAGTTCACAGGTTACTGGTCAACAGAAAACAAGATGTGGCTGTACAAAGCCAACTCCTGGCTGCTTTCCTAAATGAAGACTCAGCAGTCGCAATCTCTATGGCAGCAGGCCGTTCTCTGCTTTATTTGGGGTTGAAAGCTGGCTTCTTCCAGTGCCTACCTGGAATTGGGAGCCTTGTCTGGACAGATGGAGATGGGGAGATGTCTGGGTTGGGGGTGGGAATTGTAGGGGTTGAGTTTCTGTCTCTGGTGATGCTATCTCTAGGTCATAGTATCTGAAGTTTGGTATTAGTAGTTGGCCGCAGCCAGGATTTACAGGGCTCTTCCAGCTTCTTCCTGGAGCTTGGGGAAAAGTAGGACACTCGAATGGTTTGGAGACTGAAGAAATAAGCCTGGGCCAGCCCCAGGCGGAGTAGGCTAGGTCAGTGTTGGTGAGGCTGGGATGATGGCTTTGGCCGTGGGTGCGACGCCCGTCAAATCTCCTCATGCAGGCGGGTTGTGCCATCATCCAGAAGCCGACAGTCCCCCTTCCTGTCATCCATCTGGGGCTGCCTGGGTGGGCTTTTGGGCCCAGAGCCTTTATGCAGGGTTGTGCCCACTGGAGCAGAAGAATGAGGGCCCCTATTCAAAGCCTTCCTGTCACCACAGGTGCAGATTATTTGTCATTTTGGGGGAAAAAAAAAAAAACCTATTGCATTTTTGTGAAATTAATTTTATTTCAAAATGACTGAGGGAGTTTATGTAAACAGCTTTCTTGATGATTCTTTTGGTAAAGTCAGTACTTCTTGAATAGCGTAAGGTATCAGTGTGAATTGTGGGTTCATTAGGAGGATTACTGGCTGGGCTTACAGGAGGCCCCCTGTAGTGAGGCATTTCCTACCAGTGGCTTTCCGACTGTGTCCCACGAACCTCTTCTGGGGTGAAGTACGGGAGAAAGGGCAGGCCGATCTGGCCTTCTTCTTCCTCCTCCTCCTCCTCCTGCCCCTGACTCCCCACCCAACCAACTCTATTGGTTTCCCTGCTAAAAAGCATTTACCTGCCTGCATTGGTGACTTTGCCTCCTGGGGCTGGACTCCTGAAACCCTGACCTAGGCTTCAGGCCTGCTTCGATTCAGTTGTGTCTGGCATGCTGTCAGTGAGACCTAAGCCTGCCGTCTCCAGGAACTGCACTCTGAGGACAGTGAAGGGCAGCTATGCTTTTTAGACACACTCTGAGATGAAAGGGACAGTGGGGGAGGAACTGGTGCTGCAGAAGTTGACTCTGTCACTCCTGATTATTTTAAAAGGCCAGTTTGGGTCAAACTGGTCTTTGACTTAGGAATCCTGCTGCCCAGAGGGGCTGGTGTTCTGGCCTGGTAGTTGGTGGGACTTTTCCTCCTTTAGGCTCAGAGATCCTTTTTCTGTCAGGGGCTGATACAATTGAGATTTTTCCAAAAAGAGAAGTTGATGAAAGTTGTAGAATTTTAGTCGTAAAAATGGGAGATTGGGAGTAAACACATCAAGATATTGAGGCAGGAAAAATAAAAGGGGCGAGATGTGTCATCCATGCATCCCAGCAACTGTGAAACTGCATTCTAGGCTTTTGAGGTGAGCTTCCTCAACTTCTATCTACATAGCATATTTTTTAAAATAAAAAACAGATGTACATGTCTAGGCACACCCCTAGGAGTCGCAGGGGACAGGCATTTGGGGGACCAAGATACATGAGACATACAAGACAAGTGATTGATCTCACGAGAACTGGGGCGGGGGATGCAGGTGGCTTGGGCAGTCAGGCAGGAGTGAAAGGAGCTGTGGATGTTGAGTGACACAAAGTCTAGGGTTTCCTCTCCTTGAAAGGGTTTGTTCCTCAATGGCAAAGGAAAATCCTGGTGATGTCAGTAGGTGAAGGTGGCCAAATGAGCAAAGATGTCTGTGGTGAGATCACCTCTCCCAATCTGTGTGGCTTGCAAAATGATCATTCAAACCAGAACACATGTAAGTTCCACTCATATGCGGGAGAGGGAAGGGGAGCCTGTTTATGCTGAGTCTCTGATCTAGGCAGTCTCCAGAGGGCTGTGTGGGTTGTACTTCTTCGATGACCACCTGAGAGTCACCACAGCCTGAGACACGTAAGGAGAATGCAGTAGTGCCAGCCTGTGGCCCTCTGTTCTGGCTTCTGCAGGGTGTGTGTGTTGACTGGGGAATGTGGGTAAGAAAACCCTTGCTGAAATGTGTTCTCTCCGCAGTGCTGATGCGGGGTTGGGGTACCAGAGATGAGTGGGTAGGCCACAGGCAGGAAAAATAAATCTGTTTGGACAAGGTATAGCTTCAGGAACTCACCTGGCCCCACGCCTGTCCCTGGGGTTTCTGCATTGAGCCTTGGGGCCACCCAGACCTTGCCAGGCAAGCACAGTCTGCCCTGAATCTGGGGTCCAGAACCTGACTAATGAGATGTCTCCCTTCTGTGCTGACAAGCAGGCACACAGAACTCGTCCTGGTCTCTTGGGGTCCCAACACAGAACCGAATCCTTATGGATGAGGTGGCCTGGTCTGCTCTTGGAGAAGCAGGGTGGCAATAGTTGACAGGGCTGGTATTCTTAGATGACCATTGTTCTCTCTGGCTGTGGAATAGGGGGGTTGTGACCCCCCCAGAGACTCGGCCTAAGGCAGGGAAGGATACAGTTGGACCTCGGAGAGCATCTTTCTGCTTACTAGCATTTGAGATTATAAAAATTTTTTTTAATCAAAAATTTCCAAAATAAAGTGAGTGATTTCCCCATCCCCCAAGATGCAGTGAGTCTTGCTGGCTCTCCCTCAGGCTTACAGCAAGTCAAATGGAAAGAAAAGCAAGAAGCAGCTGCGAGGGAGAAGATGCGGTCCCACGCGAGGACGGATGGGCTTTCAGTTCGGGAGGGAGGCCCCTGCTCCTGCTCGGCCTCTGCTTCTGGGCCACTCCGTCAGGGCGGAGTCTGGCTGGGTCTGGCGGTAAGGGACAATGACTATGTGAAGGCAACCGACAGAGGTGTCCGCCTGGAGAGCAGGATCCCTTGGTTCCATGATGTCCCCAGGTCACGCGGTGTGCAGCTCGGCACAGAAATGATCCCTTTACACAGCAGCATGTGTTCTCATCGTAGCTCAAGGCATAAATCATACTTCCTAACGAAAAAACCCCAATCTTGGTAGCAGCGCATACCTTATACTAGAAACTTGCAAGGAGACCAGTGTTGAACCACAAAGCGAGTACAGGTTTTTGCTTTTGTCTGTAAAAATGTACAGCACACCTGCTTGGGGCTGCAGTGTCAGGACTAGGGGGTGCTCCTTGGCCCAGGGCTCTGCTCTGGGCCCTTCATACCTCACCCACCCACACCACTGTGGTCCCCCCCTTTATACCTGACACCTCACACCGCAGCGTGTTTTGTCTCCCATTGATGAGGAACAGAGACTCTCGGGCTGGTGTGAGGAGGTACTGTCCAAACAGCCCACTGTCCCTCATGATTCTGCGGGCGCCCCCCCAGGGCTGGGGTGGCCCTGTGGGTGGCTCCTTTAAGTTCTTCAGTGTGCCCACCTTCCCTGTGGACAGCTCCAGGAACAGCAGGTCCGGCTCCGTGTGCAGAGCCGCGTAGATGTTGTATTGATTGCTTTCAGTGAAGGAGCGCTGGAAGGCCAAGTCTGAGATGCCTGGGTTTATTTGCAGGTCATACAGGGTCTGGATCTCCCCCCGCACCGTGATCTCCTGCACGTGCAGCCAGGGGCTGTCAGCTGCAGCGCTGACTATGAAGCGCCCGTCGGGGGATGTGTGTGGGGTGCCTGTTACATCACCGTTGGGGCCAACCACAGAGTCTGTGACACTGTCAACGAGCAGCTGTCGGGCAGCAGAGGCAGGGCTGTCCTGTCGGCACTGGATGAAGAAGTAGCCGCCCAGGTGGGTGTGCGCCATGGCCTGGGGCACGCAGCCATGGTGGTGCAGGCCGATGGTCTTGAGGGGCATCAGCGTTTCCAGGTCCACTTTGTGGACTGCAGGGTCAGACTTGTTGAAGATGAAGCCAAACCTGGGAGGGGAAGAACTGAGGTCAGAAGTCACCTCCAGGGGTGGGGAATCTGTCATTTTTCTTAACCAATTACATCTTCTGCCTTTTCCCTTTATTATAATCCTTCGTGATCTAAGAGCTTAGTAATAAGATCTATCATTCTGCAGGGGATGTCTTCATAAAGAAATTATCTATGATCTCAATCCAAACGCAGTGGAGTTACAAATGTTGCTGGGTTGATGCTCTTGTAACATGCACTCATCATTGGAAATGATTGTGGAGGAAGGCGAGAGGCCCTTCAACTGCTTCTCCTTTTGTAATGCTTTGATCTGCTTCCCTGAGGCCCATGCCAGCTGGAAAGGGGCGAGTCTGTGTCTGGACGGTGAGCATGGAGGAAAAGGGCAAGAGATCCCTGCCCCGATTCTGCCTGTTACAAAGATATGAGTTCTATATCCTCGCTGTTTTCTAGACTAACTGGCAAGTTAGAATTTGAGGATGCAGATGCAGCCCAACAAGTGCAGATTTCCTATTAGTACCCTCTTCCCCTGGAAGGGAAATGTGCGGGGGCGGTCTCTTTTCTGGCCACAATGGTGGTGTGGGTAGGAAGAACCCTGGGCATTGGGGATGAGGACAGCTTTTCCCTCTGGAGCCAGATGGCCTGGTGCCGGCGCATTGCCCCGCTAGCTGCAGAGCCTGGGGCAGGCTGCTTGCCTCTCTGAGCCTCAGTGACTCTAGCCAGGGTAGCTCCTTCCTAGGGCTATTGGGAAGATTCAAAGAGGGAAGTTTAGCAGAGGGGCTCAGGTAGGTGGGAGTTGCTCACATCTGGATTTTCTAAAATTCCTCTTTGGAGGCTGGTTGGAAGTATGGAAAAGCCTGGCTCCAGACAGGACTTCCCTTTGATCTTGAGAGCCTGTGCCTAAATCCCTTGCTCACAGAGGCTTTTTGGTGCTGTGTACACTTACAGGAACAGAGCAGAATCTCTTCTGTAATTTTCTCTAGAAAAACTGTACCCCAGAGTAGAGGAAAAACTCCCTCCAAGGCGTATCTTTAAAGCATCCTTAAAGAATCAGAGCATGGAAATAGCAAGAAAGAAAACTTGGCTCTTAAAAGAAACTTTAAGTTAAAAGCCACACACAGGAACTACAGAGCCTCTGAGTGTGCCCGACCCCCAGCTGAATACAGCTGCTTTACGAGGACTTCACCATTTAATATACTCTCAGAGGCTCTTGCAAAGGCTGTCTCTGCAGTGAGAGGGTTCATAAAGTGGCTTTCTTCCTTGGGTAAGGGTGAATGGGTGCATCTCCAGCATCAGCTTGCAAAAGCGAATCACTTCTTTCTGCAGAGAGGTGCTTGATGGTGGATTATAGAAAGGTATAAATAGTGCTACAAGACATTTGGGGTCTTGATGGCTTAGAGACAGGCTTGGTCGTCTGGCAGTGGTAAGTTTACAGAAGATGTTGGGGGCTCTCTGAAGTGAATAGGGATGGGGACTGACCATGCTGGGCTGAGGTCTGCAGTTGAGACCATGACTCTTATTATTGGGTGGTTGTTTTAGGTAGTGGCAAACCATGGCAATCAGGAAGCCTTGTCTCTTTGTGGGCTCCTCGCACAGATGCTCTGGGGGTTCCTAAAGTATTATGGGCTGTGGTTAGATGGGAATGTGGAAGAATGGTGCACTGAAACAATACTTGGCTTTACATTTAGTCTGACTTTGCCAATTCCTACCTGTGTGACATTGGTCAGTGTCTTAACGTCTCTGATCCTTATCTATAACATAGGGGTTAAGACCACTTGGACTAGATTTTTGTGTCTAGCAAGCAGAGGGTGCTCAATTTACCACTACTGTTTCCTTCTTTCCTCTGCTGCCCTTACCTTGAGGATGGGACTTCCTGACCTTTCTGGGCCCCTGAGGGCATTAGGAGCTGGGTGCCTTCACTATAACAGAGTCACTGACCCCAGGCAATGAGGACTAGGCACTGGGTCTGTTTTACTGGACCTTCTCTGTTCCTTCATGATGGGGTCCAAATTCAGCATAGGAGGAGTAGGGGAGACAGAGAAATAAGTAGGTCCCATGCTGGGCAAAGCTGCCCCTTGCAGGGCTGAGCTGCAGCGGGGAGTGCCTTAGAGGCATCATGGGCCAGTCTCACCTGATGTGGTTGATGATGAGGTTCGTTGGGGGAATGAAGAAGTCGTCCACTCCTGCGAAGGGTGTGCGGATGAGGTGTTGGTCCTGGCCGGCGCTGGCTTCTGTGATCACCTACAACACAGAGTGGGAATCCTAGTGAGGGCCCATGCAGGTGGGGGCTGAACCTGGAGACACTTGTATGGTCAGGTGGAGATACCCTGGCAGAGGGGTGCTTGGGAGAGAGATGACTAACCTCAGTATCAGGGAAGAGGCATGAGCAAAGTGGGAGCAGTTCAGGAACATCCTAGAAAGGGGCCTGTTCTTCCTGAAAGAGGAAGTGGTGGGACAGGACTGACTGCCCGGATTGCCCTTGCTCCATGGTTACGCCTGCCTTGTTGCACTTTGTCAGCCGCCATGATGGCAGAGTGAGAACCTGAGGGGTGGGGGTGGGCTTTCCAAGGGAAGTCCCCGGAATGGAAACATCACTGTGGTTGCTCAGAGACCACCTCCTCTTGCAATGAGGAATCCTACCTTCTCAACATGTAAGCCATGCTAGGGAAAGAGGGAGAGGGCTTTCAATCATGAAAACGTCACGTGGTGGAACTGTCTACTGGGAATTCCTTTTTCTCTGGTGCCAGATGCCTGGGCCAGTTTGTTGGTAGTCTCTGTCGGATGCTGCTCACAGGCATTCTCTGAGGTACCACTCCAGGATTGACGAAAGACAGTAGACATCCTACGGGATGCCACTCTGAGATGCTGGGCTGTTTAGATGTCTTGCAATTAGAATGCTGGGAAGAGGTCCTGGTCTTACAGAGGAGACTTGCTGTAGAAAGTAAACAATTAGGCCCTGTGCCTTGTACAAGTTGGTAGTGACAGAGCACGGCCGCCTCTGTTTCCCTGGAGGTAACCCTTTCTCCCCTGTGGACTCGGCAGGAGGAGAGGAGAGCTTTTCCCTGGTGTGTGTCCCAGCTGCACCCACGTATCAGGGAGGGCACAATGGCAGCTCCGAGCAGAAGCCAGGTGGTGTGTGAAGTCACATAGGATGAGTGAGAGGTCCGGAGTCCCTGCCATGAAACCCCTGTGGTCAGGCTGGGCAGCCCCTCTGTCAGCTAGTGAGGCCAAGCCAGCCAGCCTGTGTCCTCCTGCCTTCTGCATATGCTCATCAGCCTTCAAGTTCTAGGCCACTGCCCAGACAGCAGCAGACTAGTGGCCCGATGAGGGGCTTGGCCAACTTACAGGCCCTGAGGAGAAGCCCAGACCATCTGTGCAGGAGAGGAGGCAGATGCTGAGCCCACGAACGGGAAGCTGAGACACTTTTTTGTTTTTTTGAGACGGAGTCTCGCTCTGTCGCCCAGACTGGAGTGCAGTGGCGCAATCTCGGCTCACTGCAAGCTCTGCCTCCCGGGTTCACGCCATTCTCCTGCCTCAGGCTCCTGAGTAGCTGGGACTACAGGTGCCCGCCACTGTGCCCAGCTAATTTTTTGTATTTTTAGTAGAGACAGGGTTTCACTGTGGTCTCCATCTCCTGACCTTGTGATCCGCCCGCCTCGGCCTCCCAAAGTGCTGGGATTACAGGCATGAGCCGCCGCGCCCGGCGGGTGAGACACTTTTACTGATCATCTGATCGTGATATTGTGGCCATATGTGTAGAAAGAAGGGTCTAGATTTCCGCAGCCTGAGGCTTGGCCTGCAGGGTGAGAGCTGTCTGTGGTGGGAGCTCCTGACTCCCATGGCTGAGAGCTCTGGATGCTTCTACTTTTTAGGAATGGAACTGCCTTCTGGCTTTTACTTTTATGACAAAACAAACAGCACCTGGCCTGCCTCCTCAGGCAGGCTGGAGGTTTGTGTCTTTTTTGGTCTTGCTTTCCTCTGCAGTCGGCAGGCAGAGTGCTGGCTGGAGTGATGCGAGCCATGATTTTCAGGCTTGAGGCAGTCCTCACGTTGCATTAGGTTATTTCTCTGTGATTTTTTAAAAGAAGCCAAATGATTACTTCTATGGCAAGTTCATAAGAAAAAAACTCATAGAAGTGGGTGTTAAGAAAATATCAGCATTAGGAAACTGGATCTTAGAGAGTCTGAAAAGAAAATGCCAGGGAATTCCAAGGAGCCATGCAATCATTGCTTGATATCAGGCCTGTCATTTTAGCTCACAGCAGAGATGGAAAATTACAGGCTGTCATCGGTCAGCGTCATTCATGCTTCACTGCTCTGACACCCTATATTCAGAGGTTACTTCATCAAAACGCAGTGCCACGGGCCGTTGAACTGATGTGGGCATGTCAGCCTTGTTTCTCTGAGTCACGAGTTCCTCCTTGGCTTTTTCTTGAGTCCTAACACACAGCTGGGCCCACAGTGCCCTAAAGATAACTGTCAAGCCCCTCACATTTGCTGCTGTATGGGCATGGTTCAGGAGATGTATGCGTGTGCCTGAATCTCAGGATATGCCCATCAGTTGGCAGAGTGGGGACAGGAAGGCTGGGCATCTCCCTCAGAGGGGTGTACGAAGCCAGCTGGGAAGTGGCATGTGGAGGGGCGGGAGAACTTGGTATCCAGAGGACAGGCTGGGAGGCAGCTAAAAGCTGGCCTTAGAAAGCGGGTGGGCCAGAGAGTGCTGGGCAGCATCGGAAAAGATGCCAAATGTTCCAAACCTGGGTGCTGAGGAGGGCTTTGGTGGAGGGAGCCTCATTTGTACAAACACGTTCATGTAGTCTTCCCAAAGTGTGTTCAACAATTCCTTCAGTGTTGGATATTTAGAAACAATATTAGGATATTATTTTTAATCTCTTGCAAATACAAACAATGCAGTAACAAACATTGTATTTGTGGGAGACTAAAAATGTCATAGCTCAGTTTTTGTCCACTTCTGTGGTTATGGCCTTTGGAAAAATTCTGAGAAGTTGCTGGATCAAAAATTACTCTTTCACTGGCCAGCCATGGTAGCTCACACCTGTAATCCCAGCACTTTGGGAGGCTGAGGTGGGCAGATCACTTGACGTCAGGAGTTTGAGACCAGCCTGGTCAACATGGTGAAACCCCATCTCTACAGAAAGTATAAAAATTAGCTGGGTGTGGTGGCGTGTACCTGTAATCCTAGCTACTGGGGAGGCTGAGGCACAAGAATCGTTTGAACATGGGAAGAGGAGGTTGCAGTGAGCTGAGATTGTGCCACTGCACTCCAGCCTGGGTGCAGAGTGACATTCTGTCTCAAGTAAATAAATAAATAAATAAAAATAAAAAAATTACTCTTTCAGGCTTTTGGTTCACACTTCCCAATTGCTCACCACAAAGGCTACGCCAGTTGAATTTCCAGGAGCAGTTTTTGTAAGCACTGGTTTCTTTAACCCTAGACCACAGTGGTGAAGGTAGGTTTATTCAAATGATTTCATACTTTTTTAAATGATAATACATATCCTAGTCATTTAGGCAAAGGTAAACTATTGGTTATTGGTTTTGGAGAAGTAGTCTTTATTATATTTAAAGAATTTCCTTCTATTCCTATTTTTAGGCTTTTTATTAAGAATGCCTGCTGTATTTAATTAAATGTCTTTTCAGTATTATTGAAAACATCTTACATTTTCTCTTTCAATTTGTTGGTGTTATGAATAATATTGACTGATTTCCTGACAGTGAACCATCATTGCATCCTGGGAATGTGTTCCCTGCTTGAGCATTTGCACACATTCCTGGGTTCTATGTCTTTTTCTGTGTGTGTGTGTGTGTGTAGTGGTTTGTTTATACACCTGCATCTCTCCTGTGAAACTCCCTTTTTAAAATAAATTATCGGCCAGGCGCGGTGGCTCAAGCCTGTAATCCCAGTACTTTGGGAGGCCAAGGTGGGCGGATCACGAGGTCAGGAGATCGAGACCATCCTGGCTAACACGGTGAAACCTCGTCTCTACTAAAAAATACAAAAAACTAGCCGGCCGAGGTGGCGGGTGCCTGTAGTCCCAGCTACTCGGGAGGCTGAGGCAGGAGAACGGCGTGAACCCGGGAGGCGGAGCTTGCAGTGAGCTGAGATCACG